TGTAACACTGCCAGTCGTGGATTGGTCTCCCCAGAGCCTGGACCTCAACATTACTGAAACAATGTGGGATCATCCTGACATAAAACAGAACAAAAGGCAGCCAACATCCAAAGAAAAGCTTTGAATGTCCTTCAAGAAGACTGGAGAACTATTCCTGAAGACAACTTAAAAGAAATTAGAAGAAAGCTGAACAAGAGAGTTCAGGCTGTGTTGAAGAATAAAGGTGGTCATACCAAATATTGACCTTTAAGTTCATTACAATCATACATACTCTGTTTTACGTTCAAATATTTATATATCCATATACTTAAATACTGTATTTCCATGTACGCTTGCACGTTTCAATAAGACACAGTACTGCATATTTCAGCTCTAATTGTTATCAACCAACTAACAGCACTTTGAATGGAAGGAATTATTATCTGTGTCCTTACAGCATGTCAAATAAAAGAGAAGAGAACAAGACGAGAGCAACATTAAGGTGACATGTTCACTGTCTAAAATTCACAAAGAAACCGGTGGAAGGAATTTTAATACCGTTGTTATGGCTACCTTTTTTCACTCTACCTTGGTCCTCATCTGTTTCCCTGATTAAGGCCCATTATGGCAGGGACATTATTATTCAGCAAGAAGACATAATGGCAAGAAACATTTACACATCTTTTTATGTGAAATGGTTGGAATTTATTAGCAGCCCTGGAGATTTTTCTCACTTTCATTCTCTCAGGTACACAGAAGACTGTTTCTGCAACCCGGGCACTGATTAGCGCTATAAAAAACTGTGTTTTCCTCCCAAATGTCAGTGCTGTGAAAAGCCATCCAATGGTAGGAGATGACCTTTGCAAGACCTGCAGAACCTCTTTGTGATTAAAGTACCAACAAAGACTGATGGGACTTTAGTGACTTATGAAAAAAGTGAAAAGATTTCTTGTTCCAAGGCTTGATGGACGAATGAAAGAAAGAGCTTTCTTTTCAGTCTCAGCATAATTACCTTGAGGTGTTCAGCCTTTAAGACTACCCCTTGCAACCCTGATAAGGACACGCTAAAGAGAATGGATGGATGTTCAGACTTCATAAAGAAACACTGTTCATTATTCAGTTGGGTTATGCACTTTACCCTCTTCACTCATTTGACACAATCTTCTATTGGAGGAGTCATCAAGTATTGGCAAATCAAACTGGCTGGGTGATTCTGTGTAGAGGGAATGCTTGTTTTAATATAATAGTGATATTTGGTGACAGCGTATTGATCATCATCAATCATCTTATCATAAGCTAAACACAATGGTTAGAAACCTTACTCATTTGAACGTCCAGTAAAAGTTCTTTTTTACAGTAATCTCTGGTTTTTCACAGCTCTGCTTGCCTCATGTTTCCATCCCTGCCTACGACTTCCTGATATAATTCAGAGTACAACAAAGACATTTTTTAGTCGCCCAGCAGTCATTCATTTGACTAACAATGCCGCTGCTCTCCATGCTGCCACACTTTGTAACAGGTGGTGGGAAACTCAGTGATTTATGGCCATTAAATTCCCACTGAGCATATGTTGTGGTGACTCCAAGTTCACCACCATGCAAACTACATGTGTACATGAGAAGTGCATCTGTATGCCAGCTCAGGTGTCAGCTCGTGAACGACATCGAAATTACATTCATTTTCTGCTGACTTTACTTACTAAAATTACTTACTAAAACTTAAAATATGGTGACATATTTATGATATCTCCTCACAATATGAGTAATGCCAATTAAGACACATCTGTTACCTGTTTGTATGATATTAGTGTACCTGTAATGGTGGTGAAGTGGGGGGAGTAAGGAAAACATGTAGAACTTCCTGTTTAAACTTTAGGAAAAACATGCTTTGATTGATACATTTAAACTTTTTGCCATTTACATCATTGTGATAAATCTAAACGAGTTATTTTGTCTTTTTAAAAATACTTTGTTGAAGTTTATTGGATTTATGCGTAGTCAAAGATCTTTGCTCATAAAAGCAAACGTCACCAAATGCAGAAAAAGGGCTCTTTCCCAATTTTATCTTTGTACCTGTAGCTATTTTATACAAGCAGTAATGTAGATAACTGTTTCATATGCAGTTGAGATTTGGGTTGTTTATTAAAACAATTATTTATTTGATCCCGTCCTGATTTTGTTGAAGTTTTCTCACTTACAAAGAAATGAACAGTTTCTAATTGTTATCGAAGTTTCATTTGCATGTATATATGCATATATTACTTAAAAAACATTTCTGCACTTTAAAGGATGAATGATGCATATAGTAACGAGCTCGCTTTCTTGAAAGCACAGTGAGTGACAAATATTTCTGTTTACAGGATCACGTGTCGCATTTCTGGCTTTTTAATAGAACAGAAATATCTAGGAAAGCTTAGCTACTTAGCTACCGTGGCTCAGGGGGTTGGGAAGCGTATCTGTAACCGGAAGGTCGCCGGTTCGATCCCCGGGCTCTCCGTCCTGGTCGTTG